GGAAGACAAGAGAAGAGGTGATTTCTCTTCACAGGAAGGGCAATGGCTATAAGAAGATTGCAAAGATGTTAAACATACCAAGAGACACCTTAGGAAGCATCATTCGCAAATTCAAGGCAAAGGGCACTGTTGAAACGCTACCTGGTCGTGGCAGAAAAGAAGATGCTGACTTCGACTGCTGTGCGCTACCTGAAGCGTAGAGTGGAGAGAAGTCCCCGTGTGACTGCTGAGGAAACTGAGAAAAGATTTGTCAGATGTGGGTACAGAAGTTTCAGCCCAGACAATAAGACGCACACTGCGTAATGAAGGCCTCCGTGCCAGAACTCCCAGGCGTACCCCTTGCTGTCTCCAAAGAATAAGAAGAGTCGACTGCAGTATGCCAAAAAGCCATGTGGACAAACCACAAAAGTTGTGGGATAGTGTTCTGTGGACTGATGAAACAAAATTAGAACTGTTTGGGCCCATGGATCAACGCTATGTTTGGAGGAGGAAAACAAGGCCTATGATGAAAAGAACACCTTGCCTACTGTGAAGCATGGTGGAGGGTCAATCATGCTTTGGGGCTGTTTTGCTTCTGCAGGTACAGGGAAGCTTCAGCGTGTGCAAGGTACCATGAATTCTCTTCAGTACCAGGAGATATTGGATGGAAACGTGATGCAGTCCGTCACACACCTGAGGCTTGGGAGACGTTGGACCTTTCAACAGGACAATGATCCCAAGCATACCTCCAAGTCCACTAGAGCATGGTTGCAGAGGAAAGGCTGGAACATTTTGGAGTGGCCATCGCAGTCACCAGACTTAAATCCGATTGAGAACCTCTGGTGGGACTTAAAGAAAGCAGTTGCAGTGCGCAAGCCTAAGAATGTGACTGAACTGGAGGCCTTTGCCCATGAAGAATGGGCGAAGATACCCGTAGATCGCTGCAAGACACTTGTGTCAAGCTATGCTTCACGTTTAAAAGCTGTTATAACTGTAAAAGGATGCTGTACTAAGTACTAAGATTGAATGTCACTTGGGGGTTGAATAAAACTGATAATGCTGTGAGCACAGAAAAGACATTTGTGGTTATTTCATTATAACTGTTATGTTATATTTGTCTGACCTACAAGTGCCTCTTTAATGTAAATGTAAGCAAGATGACTGAATGATCAAAAGCAATGTCAAACTGGCCAAAACACTCAATTTCAGTGGGGGTTGAATAATTTTGGCCACAACTGTATTTTGGCAGAAATATGAAGCCACTTACTTCACAAGTCCTAGGTGGGTGGGCCTGACCCCTAAGCTAATCTCCCGTCAGACGCTGATAAAGAAAGTTACCATACTCGTGAGGAACGAGTCTATTCCAGCATCTGATATTGTGGTGTGGCTGGGGAGGTGATGGGGGCCCTGAGTAAAATATAGTGGATGTGAGGGGAATATGGACAGGTGGGTGGGACAACTACCATCCACCTAAGGGTGGAGGGTAACGTACTACAGCATATTCCATCATCGGCCTTCCTAGGGAGGGACTGGCTGATCATCTTTTATACTGGTCAGCCACGGGTATGTCACCGGTGTGGTGGCAAGGGACACTTTGCTGCCACATGCCCTGTGATCCGCTGCTCCCTATGCCAGGAGATTGGGCACCTGACTAGGGACTGCAACATTATCAGATGTAATCTGTGTGGCGTGGTTGGGCATTCATACAGCCAGTTTCCGAACGCCCTCCGCAACCTCTCTGATAGGGAGTTGGCAGCGGAGTTGGATAGAATGGAGGTGGAGGTGGCAGCAGAAAAAGTCGCCTTGGCCTCAGCAGCATCTGCAGTGAGGGTGGAGGAGGGCCGGCTTGGCCCCACTGCCCCCATTCCCCTGGTTAAGCCCCTCCTATTAAGTCTGTTCCCGTTGAGTCTCAGGTGGGCTCCCCAGTTGTTCCAGTCTTTCCTCAGAGGAAAGGGGGCAAGGTGGCAGAGGCAGCCAAAGGGGCTGGGGTGGTAGATTTAAATTTTGGAAGGTCCTCTGTGCCAGCTCCCCCGGTTCTTCTCCCGCTACGGCGGAGTAAAGTGTCCACCAAGAAACCTCAGGGGTCCCAGGGTCCGGTTCAGGGAGGGCAGGATGGGGCTCAGGGGGAGGAAGGGTGGTAGGAGGGAGACGCAACAGGCCTGTGCTCTCTCCGGCAGGGTCGGTTTCTTCTCTGGAGGTGGAGGGACCAACCTTGGGTAACATGTTTAGGGCTCTGTCAGGGGAGGAGGAGGAGTCAGGTGGCTCTCCTTCCCCGATGGAGGATGAGGAGGCAGGAGGGACCCAAAAGAGACCTGGGGACTCTCCAAAAAAATCTAAGAAGGTTAAGAAACGCCTTTCTCAATTACCTTAATGGCTGTTCCCGCTCGGTTAAAGTTGGCAACGATTAATGTTGCCAGCCTAAAATCTGTAAGCGCTAGAAGTACGGCCTTATTTTTGCTCAGTGATATTGGTGCTGATGTTTTATTTTTGCAGGAGACCAGGCTCGGCAGCCTTGCTGACATACATCTAGCAAAAAAGGGAGTGGAGGTGTGGCCCCTCCTACTGGTCTCTTGTGGCCAAACCTTACAGCGGAGTTGCGGTCCTTTTTACCGGCATGATAACTTGCCAGTGGGTCATGGAGGTGGAGATCGGAAGATGCATGGTTCTTGATGTCCTTTTAAAAGGGCACGAGTTGAGGCTGATTAATATCTATGGGCCTCAGACTAAGTGGGATAGGAAGTGCCTCTTTAAAAAGATTAAACCCTTTCTTTATATGTCCCAACAGTTTGTCTTTGGAGGTGATTTCAATGCCATCATTAGGCCTAAGGACAGGAAAGGCTCCAAGGACAGGTTGGGATATGATAGGGTTTTTTTAAATGCGATAGTCAGGGAAGCAGGTCTAGTGGACGCCTTGGTTAAGTGCAGCCCGGACAGCACGGGGTTCACATTTAGGAGAGGCAGAAGTGAGAGTAGGATAGACAGGTTTTTTTTGAAGGAGGACTCTGCCTTCTTGGCACCTGTGTGTCAGGCGGTGGAGTTTTCTGACCACCTTTTGCTTACTATGTCTTTGAATGTCTCGGATACTCCACTGAAGGGGAGAGGTGTCTGGAGATTGAATTCGTCTCTGCTGGACGATGAGGATGTGAGACGAGATCCTTCAAGGACTTTTTTCAGGCTCAGGAGACCGTCCTGGATTTTTCAGACAGTAAGTCAGAATGGTGGGAGCTCACCAAGGTGCGTATTGGTGGGTTTTTCAAGGCTCTAGGTAAGCGTAAGCAATTTAATAGATATGTTGCCTACCAGCGGTTAAGGAGGAAACTCGATCGTCTTGTCTCTGAGGGTGGAGATTCTGGGGCAATCTCGGAGGTCAAGCTTCTCCTTAGGAAACATCAGTACGAGTTCCCTGACAAAATCCAGGGCAGGGATCCTAGAGGTCTCGAGGGCTTTCTTTGCGGATCTTTTAGGGGAGAAGCACCTCGACCAGGCTAAGATGTCGAGCTTCGTGGAATCTACTCCAGGTCTTGAAAATAATGTTCTGCTAACGAGTTTGACAGGGGAGATTACTGTTGGAAGAGGTGACCAAAGCCATTGACAGTCTGGCTATTAAGAAAACTCCTGGGCCGGACAGCTTGACAGCCAAGTTTTTTAAAACCTTTAAATCTTGCTTGGCACCTTGTCTTGTGGAGGTGTTTAACAGCTGTCTTGATAAGGTTCGCTCCCTCCCTCTGAGAGTCTCGGTGGTAATACTCCTGTCAAAAAGGAAGGACCCTTCGACTATTGAGAACTGGTGCCCCATTAGCCTTCTCAACGTTGATAGGAAGATTCTGGCCAAGATTCTTTTCTGGCGTTTGTCGTCAGTGGCAGAGGGGTTGTGTCAGGGCTCCCGGGTGTGACAAGAGGTGTGTGACTGACGCAGGGAAACGCAGACTTCAGATATGTTATAAACAATGTAATTTATTAACACTAACAATACAAACATAAACACAGTGCGATACTAAAACATAACACAGTGCAAACAAATCAAACCACCCACAGATAACAGTACATACAATGCAAGCGTCGTCAGGCAGGCCGGGTCAATATCAATCGGGCAGGTAGGTACAGGGGGAGCAAGCGGAGAATGGTCGGGGTCACAGGCCAGGTTCAGCAGGTAGCGGGCAGCTTTGTACAGAGGGTCAGGCAGAGGAGAATGGTCAGACAAGCCAGGGATCAGGAGCAGGAGAATGGTCAGACAAGCCAGGGATCAGAGCAGGGTCAGCAGAGAATCAGACAGGAACAGGAACAGGAAACAGGAAACAGGGCCCAGGAGAAACACAACACCAAGGCAGAGTCTGCAGGTCTGAATGTCCCTTAAATACACCAGTATAATTAGTTCCAGGTGTTTGACTGGCTGCAAGGTTGAGTCTCTGATTGCTGGGAGCACCCGCTGGCCAGCCCTGGTACTGCAGCTCATAAGGCAGGTGAGTCCCAATATTGCTGGCCAGTCCATTCCTGACAGGTTGCTTTCCCGGCATCAGCACTGTTCGGTTCAGGGCAGAAGTACGTTCTCAGCGGTGTTAGCTGTCCGGGAGGTCCTGGAGCGCTGCAGGGTTGATAGTAGTGGGAGGTATTTGCCGACACTGGATCAGGCCAAGGCCTTTGATCGGGTAGATCATGAGTACCTCAGGCATCTCCTTGACCGTTATGTTCTGGAAGGGAGGTTTATTGGCTGGTTAAAAACCTTATACAAAGGGGCAGAGAGCTTCATGCTGATAAATGGTTGGGTTGGGCAGCCTTTCAGGGTTGGCTCTGGGGTGCGTCAGGGGTGTCCACTGAGCCCTTTGCTTTACGCATTTGCCATCAACCCCTTCGTCAGAAGGCTAGATGGTGGGTGTCAGGAATGGACTGGCCAGCAATGGTGGGACTCACCTGCCTTTTGATCTGCAGTACCAGGGCTGGCCAGCAGTTGCTCCCAGCAATCAGAGACTCAACCTTTCAGCCAGCTAACACCTGGAACTTATTATACTGGTGTATTTAAGGGATGGCCAGACCTGCAGACTCTGCCTTGGTGTTGTGTTTGTCCGTTTGTCCTGGGCCCTGTATCTGTCCTGCATCCTGTTTCTGTTCCTTTGCTGACCCTGCCTGATCTGAATCACTGCTGACTTCTCCTGCTCTGATCCCGGCTCGCTCCTGACCATCCCTCTGCCTGACCCTCTGTACCACGCTGCTTGCTACCTGTTCTGATCCCTGGCTTGTGACCCTGACCATCCCTCTGCCTGACCCTCTGTACTACGCTGCTTGCTACCTGCTGAACCTGGCCTGTGACCCTGACCAATCTCCGCTTGCTCCCCCTGTACCTACCTGCCCTATTGATATTGACCCGGCCTGCCTGACGACGCTTGCATTGTATGTACTGTTATCTGTGGGTGGTTGGTTTGGTTTGTTTGCACTGTGTTATGTTTTAGTATTGCACTGCGTTTATGTTTGTATTGTTATTGTTAATAAATTATATTGTTTATCACATATCTGAAGTCTGCGTTTCCCTGCGTCAGTCACACACCTCTGGTCACACCCGGGAGCCCTGACATTACACCAAGGCCAATCCTGACCAGAAGTGGCTGCACAGGGAAGCCATCTTGGCTTGTTGCTGGGAAGGATGGATCTTGATGAGGTTGCGTATTTTATATCTGCTAGTGTTTGATGACAGAGAATATGCTTATCAGACTCTGAAGGAGTATCCCCGGGATGAACTGCTAGAATGTATACGGCTCGCTCATGTTCTAGTAGATCGGGGCACAGAGTTCTCTGAGGTGCAGCCATTGATTCAGATTTGTGCTGAGTTGGTTTCATCTGGTTCCCCCGAATGCAGGGATGAATTTTTGCCGCCATTTAGTGCAGACCAGGTAGAGTCCCTGGTGTGGTTATTAGAGGATGATGTGGGTTACTTTCTGGAGCATTATGCTGCATGTTCACCACAGACACTAAGATTGTATAAACGCAGTGCAGTCATTGACCAGACAGGCTTTGTGTAAGCTCAGCTTTGTTCAACCCATACTGCAGACATGGACAGACTTGTTGCACCCAGCCTCAGTCAGCTTACAAAAACCCAGTCCTGCTTCTAATCTATTTCCTCAAAGCTCTACTCCTGCATTCCCAACAGCTCCTCCAGTTACAGCCCAGTATACCCTGCTATCTACCGCATGTCAGTACCCTGTTCCCACTCGCTGCACTTATCCTGCCTTTAACCCTGTAAAAAAGCCCTCTGTAGCAACTGCTCCCTCTCCTGTTCCATCCTCCAGTTCTTCTCTGTCTCCAGCTGCTCCATTCGTTTGCAGACCTGCGTTTACTTGCAGTGCTCCAGTAGTTAAAACCAGAAAAAAGCGAAAATTCTTTCCAACCAATACCATCCTGCCAGTATCCAAACCGGTGAACCTGCCTTCCGTGGTTCAGCCTGAATCCTCTACTCAGCCTGATGCCTGTACTCAGCCTGATGCCTGTAGGCAGCCTGATGCCTGTAGGCAGCCTGATGCCTGTACGCAGCCTGATGCCTCTACTCGGCCTGATGCCTGTACGCAGCCTGATGCCTCTACTCGGCCTGATGCCTGTACACAGCCTGATGCCTCTCTTCAGCCTAAAGCCTCTACTCGGCCTGAAGCCTCTATTCGGCCTGATGCCTCTACTCGGCCTGAAGCCTCTACTCGGCCTGATGCCTCTGCCCGATGTGCCTCTGCCCGGAGTCCAGCTCGATGTGCCTCTGCCCGGAGTCCAGCCCGATGTGCCTCTGCCCGGAGTCCAGCCCCTCTGCCCGGATGTGCCTCTGCCCGGAGTCCAGCCCGATGTGCCTCCCGGAGTCCAGCCCGATGTGCCTGCCCGGAGTCCAGCCCGATGTGCCTCTGCCCGGAGTCCAGCCCGATGTGCCTCTGCCCGGAGTCCAGCCCGATGTGCCTCTGCCCGGAGTCCAGCCCGATGTGCCTCTGCCCGGAGTCCAGCCCGATGTGCCTCTGCCCGGAGTCCAGCCCGATGTGCCTCTGCCCAATGTGCCTCTGCCCGGAGTCCAGCCCGATGTGCCTCTGCCCGGAGTCCAGCCCGATGTGCCTCTGCCCGGAGTCCAGCCCGATGTGCCTCTGCCCGGAGTCCAGCCCGATGTGCCTCTGCCCGATGTGCCTCTGCCCAGAGTCCAGCCCGATGTGCCTCTGCCCGGTGTGCCGCTGCCCGGAGTCCTGCCCGGTGTGCCAGTCTTTGATATCCCGCCAGTTACCAGACCCGGGCGGTGGAACATTTTGCCCAGCTAGGACTGTTTGGAGCGTCCTGAGGCCGCTCCTTGAGGGGGGGGTACTGTCAGGAATGGACTGGCCAGCAATGGTGGGACTCACCTGCCTTTTGATCTGCAGTACCAGGGCTGGCCAGCGGTTGCTCCCAGCAATCAGAGACTCAACCTTTCAGCCAGCTAACACCTGGAACTGATTATACTGGTGTATTTAAGGGATGGCCAGACCTGCAGACTCTGCCTTGGTGTTGTGTTTGTCCTGGGCCCTGTATCTGTCCTGCATCCTGTTTCTGTTCCTTTGCTGACCCTGCCTGATCTGAACCACTGCTGACTTCTCCTGCTCTGATCCCGGCTCACTCCTGACCATCCCTCTGCCTGACCCTCTGTACCACGCTGCTTGCTACCTGTTCTGATCCCTGGCTTGTGACCCCGACCATCCCTCTGCCTGACCCTCTGTACTACGCTGCTTGCTACCTGCTGAACCTGGCCTGTGACCCTGACCAATCTCCGCTTGCTCCCCCTGTACCTACCTGCCCTATTGATATTGATCCGACCTGCCTGACGACGCTTGCATTGTATGTACTGTTATCTGTGGGTGGTTGGTTTGGTTTGTTTGCACTGTGTTATGTTTTAGTATTGCACTGCGTTTATGTTTGTATTGTTAGTGTTAATAAATTATATTGTTTATCACATATCTGAAGTCTGCGTTTCCCTGCGTCAGTCACACACCTCTGGTCACACCCGGGAGCCCTGACAGTGGGGCTTTGGCGGGGGTGCCGGTGGGCACAACTGGCGAGTCACCTTTTGAGGGTTGTAGCCTATGCTGATGATGTTTCTGTGTTAATCTCCGGGGCGGAAGAGGAAGAGGTGGTGGTCTCGGAGATGGGGCAGTATGCGGAGGCATCGGGTTCCAAGATTAACCATGACAAGTTTTCTGGATGGGTGGGGAGGGTGAGAATTTCTCGCTCCCGGATACCTTCCCGGAGCCCCAGTCTAAGATCATAGTGCTAGGCATTACATTTGACCCTGGCGATTACGCCAAAGCAAATTGGGAGTCCAGACTGTTAGATGCCGAGGTCAAGGTGAAGTGCTGGAAGGGGTGGCGGCTCTCCTTGAGGGAAAAGGTCGATTTGATAAAGACCTATCTGATTCCAGACTTTTTGTATGTTAGCTATGTCTGCCTCTGTCTACATGAGGGTCTACAGCTGTTTCTTCCAGCTGTTGTGAGGGAACAGGCTGAACCTCATGAAGCGGAATGTTACCTACCTTTCCAGGCGGGAGGGTAGCTTAGGAATGGTCAGCCTGGTGGTTTTCTTCTCCGTTATGTTCCTGAAACATAACTTTGGTAAAATGCTGAGTGAGGAGCCGCCTGGATGGGTAGGTTTTTTTCAGATGTGGTTTAGACCCTTTCTTGGCTGCTGGGAGAGTGGCGGGCCAATGAGAAGCCTGAGAGTCAAGCACGGTAAGCTCCTGGCTTATGTCGCCCCGAGCTTGAAAATTCTGCGGCGGTGGTGTGTGATGGCCGAGGAGGTCAGATCGCTTCCTGGGAAGTCTCTCAGGGAGAGGGTTGTGGCCACTGCCTTCCATGCACCGCTGGCCTTGAAGGATTGCCCAGGCCATAGTCTACGGGAGGGCTTGAAGTTGATAAACATGGAAAGGATTCCCTTGAAGTTTAGGGACCATGCCTGGCTTGCATTTCATGGCAGACTATATGTGAGGGGGAACCTGAAGTACCGCTCCGTGGGCGACCGTGGTTGTCCGAGGGCGGAGTGTGGGGGTGAGGTGGAGTCTATGGACTACTTCTTTGGTGCCCCTTTAATATAGAGGTATGCAAACAGGTGGGGAGGGCTCTTGACATCCCTTTTCTGCACCACATGACTTATGCGGAGTGGGTATATGGGGCTTTCGAAAGACGTGTGGGTAATGATTTGAGCACTCTTTTTCTAGTCTGTTTAGTGGTCCGTTATTTCACCTGGAATGCACGGTGTCAGGAGTCCCTTCGGCAGAAAGTCCTCCCTGTCGTGGTGGTGGTGAATGACATTCTTGGTGAGGTTGGGAAAGTTCAGGGTCTTGAGAAAGACAGGTTGCGGCATAAGGCCTGGATGGAGGTGTGGAGGAACATCAGGCCTGGGCTTGTGACCTGTTGATCTCTGGGAAGCTGTCCTTGTTTCCTTCTGTGTTTTCACTCCCTTAGTTTTTTCTGGAAGAAGTTTTGAAAAAGGGTTACAGGCACCTGAAGGGCTATGTTTCTTAGCCTTACGAGTTTTTATGACACTGTGTGTATTGTTGTAGTATGTAGGCATGTTGTAGAGTGTTGTCACGTGGATAATGATTTCCCATTTTTGGCCAGTTGGCCTATCATATTTTCAGGCAGAATTTTGATGGACATTTTGGCCTCTAAGGCTCATGAAGGACTCTTTATGTGGCAACCCAGCAAGGGTTTATTTTTTGTTCATTACAGTGTACATATTTTGCTGATGTTTTTACTTTTGTATATAATGTTTTGGATTGCGAGAAATTTTAAATAAAAATCTTCTTTCCTGACACTGTGTGGAGAGGTGGTGTGGAAGGCTGCTCTACTGCGTTCCAGGAAGGCCGGAAAGCCAGGGGCTTGATTGCCCCAACTAAGCCCAGGAAGGATGTCGGGTCCTGGGCTTGGACCCGCTGGAGGAAAGCCCCCTGAGGGGCCTAGTACCAGTCCCTGCATACCACCTATAGAGGACCTGGGAACGGCCCCCAGAAGGGGGAAGGTTGTGCGGAATACAGGGACCGTGTGGTCGCCCGGATTAAGACAGTGGAGAAAAGCTTCCGGTTCCGGCGCTGATGCTGTGAGGAGGTGAGACCCGCGGCTCCCGGGATCCCCGCATATCAAGCCGGCATTCTGCGCAGGGGACTTCTGTCAGCTGCTTCAGGAGCTCCCCACTGGCCCCCCCGCACGATCCTCTGTCCCTCTGGCATGGAGCGATTCCTCCTGCCGAATCCGCAGGGCTCAGGTCCCACCACGAGGGGAGAGGGATGCGGCTCTCCCCCTTCTGCAGCCAAGATGGCCGCCGCCCATAGTATATCAATGGACACAGGCACAGAGGCTGTTACACACGCTGGTGCAGATGTACATTCCCTCCCTGCACACAGTGATAATAATATACCAGCCCTGACCTCTACTCCTGGCACCTGTAGTTCCACAGAAATGTATGACAA